ACACACACACCACACACACACACCACACACACACACCTCACACACACATCTTTGCTGTTTTAACATTTATTCACTTCTTGTCAGTTTCTATGAAAGAAAATCTTGTTTGGTTTTGCAGATTTCAGTTTATTGTTTCTGAGTTAATATTTGTTCAGGTCACACACAGTCGGCTGATTGAGGGTTTTATGCTTTGAATTACTTTAACCTGTCAGTCACAGGTTGTCATTCACAGGGGTGTCAAACTCCAGTCCTCAAGGGCCGCTGTCCTGCAGTGTTTAGATGTGCCACAGGTAAAAACCAGTGGAATGAAATGGCTTAATTACCTCCTCCCTGTGTAGATCGGTTCTCCTGAGCCTTGCTAATGACCTAATTATTCTTTTCAGGTGTGGTGCAGCAGAGGCACATCTAAAAGTTGCAGGACAGAGCCCCTTGAGGACTGGAGTTTGACACCCCTGTCACGAGAGGACCCAAATTTGGGTCCTCTAGTGACAGACAGGTTAATTTATGATGTTTACTTTGCAGGTGAGGTTTTATTAAACTCATGTTCTGATGGTCAAACATCAGCCTCAGTTTTTAACCAGGTCCAATATTTGATCCTCAGCTGAGTGGAATTAAATAATCATCAGTCTGGAAATGTCTTTAAATATTTAAATTAGCATCAATATAAATCATAGATGGAGGCTTAAAGAACAGACTTACAATTATGTGACAGGAAAGTCAGGCTGGAAGATTCAGACAAATCCCTGACCAAACCCCTGATCAAATCCCTGATCAAATCCCTGATCAAACCCCTGATCAAACCCCTGATCAAATCCCTCCATTAATCTCTAACATGACACTAATCAACATGTTTTCCTTGAAGCAGAGACTCTTCTCCATCTGGACCAAACGTTTGGACCTTAACCCACAGTTTGGTCGTCTGATGCCAATGGCCTAGTCCAATCCCTGAGAGCGACTGTCCTACAGCTCTTAGAATCTTCACCTGTCCATCACACCTGGATCTGTTGTGCTGATGAGGATTGGACTAGGCCACACATCATCTGCAAAGAGACGCCAAGTTTCCGAAACACGACTCCCTCCTCTCTACACCCAGATCCAAAGGTCTGGGAGCATCAGAGCAGTTAGAGCCCCCAAAATAACACCCCTAAATAAAAAACCAGTGTTTATAGATTCAGCCTGGTTTCAGCCTCAGCAGAACCTGAACCACGTGAAATGAAATGACAGCAGACTCATCCTGCACTTTATTAGGACATTTAAAGACACTTTACATGGAACCAGTCATTTCCATTCACTCACACATTCATGATGATGATGAGCTAATAGGTAGTAGCCACAGCTGCAGGCTGACATGTCTGATAAATGAATTTCAGCCTCTTCTGACCTGAGGAAGGAATCATTTCCCTGTTCGGTCCTGGAAACATTCACTGTGTGGTTACAACCCGCAGCACAGAAAGCTAATGGCTAACAGCTAACAGCTAACAGCTAACAGCTAACAAATAACGGCTAACAGCTAGCGGCTAACAGCTAACAGCTAACGGCTAACAGCTAACAAATAACAGCTAATGGCTAACAGCTAACAGTTAACAGCTAACAGCTAACAAATAACGGCTAACAGCTAACGGCTAACAACTAACAGCTAACGGCTAACAACTAACAGTTAACGGCTAACAGTTAACGGCTAACAGCTAATGGCTAACAGCTAACGGCTAACAGCTAACAGCTAACAGCTAACGGCTAACAGCTAACAGCTAACAGCGATGGAAAAAGTCAGATTTTGGTCTCATTTCCCTGCTGTGTGAATTTAACCTAAAAATCTTTGCTATTTAATTCTGGAAATGCAGAACATTTTTAAACTCCTCAGTTCGTCCCAGTCTGATCTTCAGGATCATCGACTCTGTGGGCTTTCAGCCAGGACAAGTTTTCCCTCCGGCCTGTTTCACCTCCAGGTGTGTCGCCAACCATGAGGTCAGAGGTCAGAGTGATCTGCTCCATTAGCATTTTACTTTTCCCTGACAGTAAAAACCTGTAGAGCAGGTTGACCGACTGCAGCTGAGCAGCTTTACTCCTCACTGGGTTCCTGTTCTTTGCCTTCAGCTTTTCATTCATTGAACTAAAACTTATCAGAACCAGATCAGAGGAAAAACTGTTTATCTGCAACGTGAAACCAAACTGTTGCTGATTCCTCCTGAAGGAACAAATATCTGACTAAATGTGAACGTCCAACAAATCATTTTAAGACTGGAATTATTCTCTGCTTGAAACTAAGCATGAAACAAAGTAATGCATTACAGAGTTTGAAATGTGATCAGGGGATTTTTCTGCCACTCACCACATTTAGGATAAGCCACCAGCATGATGTCGTCGTCTCTGGCCTCCAAGCCGTCCAGACACTTTAAATGTTCCTCTGGACACATGAGGGTGGGGTACAGCACCCCGTTGTGCCTGTACAGCTTGTCCTCGTCCCTCATGGCCTTCGCCTTCTCCAGCCGGGCCTGCATCCTGTCGGCCAGCGGGTTGCTGCTCATCCTGCTGAGGGAATCTACGGATCTGGAGCCGCTGCAGGAGAACAGGGAGGTAGAAGAGCAACAGGGAAAACTGCTCCGGTTCAGATTCTGGAGCGCCGAGGGAGCGAGAGGAGGAGGAGGAGGAGGAGTCTGGAAGCACCTCCTCTCTGCACGCACATGCAGGAAAAGCTGCAGCTTCATGGAGGAGTGATAGATCACATTTCCCGTCTTTCATCCAGCAGATCGGAGGTCAAGAGGTCACTGGAGAGAAAGTTGAACTGAAAGTTGGTGTTTAACTCACTTCCTGCCCAGATGTTTATCTCTGCTTCCTGACATGGAGGAGCAGGAATGAACCCAAACTGGCTGCTGGTTCTGGTTCTGCTTTCACACACAGAGCTGTGAAGCTGCAGTCCAGCACATCAGTCACTTCAGATCAATGAAAATCAAACAGAAAATCTCATCAGAGTCTGGATCAGAGTCTGGCTCCACATGATGCAGGCAACGATGATAAGACTTCAAACTGCACTGACACCAATGTTTTTATCTTAAAATCGATTCATGACAGGACAAGTTTTATACTTGAAGGTCATCAGAAGGTCATCAGAAGGTCATCAGAAGGTCATCAGAAGGTCGTGGTTTCAGCCGAGTCTGAGGACAAAATTCAATAAAGCTCAAATTATTGTTTAGATTCTCAAGAGAAAAAAGAAACTTCACCATCCATCCATCCATCCATCCATCCATCCATCCATCCATCCATCCATCCATCCATCCATCCATCCATCCATCCATCCATCTACCGTTTCTTTTAACTTTCCAGTGGATGTTTTTGCTCTCAGCTGACCAAATCTTCGTCTCCTCCTCAGTTGTTGCTTTGGTCAGAGATGCAGCATGAGGCTCCATCTCTCTTAGTCTATCTGGACCTTCATGCCGGTTCATCTCAGGCTGCAGCAGAATGACATCAAGCACATTGTTGCTCTGAAAGCCGTTTTAACCTCAGTGACCGTCTTTCTTTGTCCAGGACGGTCAGGAATGTCGGCTGCAGCCAGACAGAGAAACAGCCTTCAGTTTCTCCCTCCATTAGGATCCACATCCATCCTTCTGACTGTTTATGGTTTATTTCACCTCTCTGGTCTCTCTCCATACCCAGACCTCCATCATTCTCTCCTTCTTCCTTCCCCTCTCTTTCGTCCCTCTCCCCCGGCTCAGTGTTTTCGGGTCGGTTGTTCGGTGCTGCTCGGTTCAGGGGCCTCACTGTGTTAAAGTGCTGCAGACAACAATCCCTTTCTAGCACTGAGGGAAAGAGAACTGACATGAAATGAGCAGCATCAAGATGAACTACATCAGACTTTCCTTCTAAAAACATATTTTTGCTTTTCTCATTTAAACACTTAATTTTGACTTTTCTAAACTGTAATTTAACAGAAACCTTCATCAAACCTGATAGTTTGGTTCTGTCTTGTGGGTTCGTCTCTAGGATCAGTCGGTTGATCCTTTCTTCCTCTTTGACTGAATGAATGAGAAACGTCTCTTTAGTTTGAATCTGACTCCTGCAGGACGGAGTGGCAACGAAATCAGACTCTGAGCTCCGATGTTTTTATCCAACCACTTAAAAACATGGTTGGATCCTTTTATTTCAGGGTTTTAGTTTGAGGTCTGCAGTTCTGTGAAGGTCTCATCGCAGCATTTCAAATAGGACTTTGACTAGGCCATTAAGCACCCTGATTAGTTTATTTTTCAGTCTTTTGATTGCAGGTTTGCTGCTGTTTTCAGGATCATTATTCTGCTGATAACCCAGTTTGGACCAAAATTCAGCTGTCTGACAGCTGGACTCATATTTTTTATTTTTACTGTATTTTTTTCAGGGATTTTTTTGTTTGGAAAAAGTATTTATGTTTTTGTTGTTTGCTACTGTCAAAGCTCTCGCCTTTAGCAGGTGTTCACACTGAAGAGGTCAGACTTTCTGCTTTTAGCTGTTCTTTGGTGCTACCGTTGCTCTGAAGCATCAACATGGATCTTCTTTTTTCTCTCTATGACAATTTCTCCTTAAGAACTATTGATACATAATGGATGGTGGTGAACATTTTCAAATTAATATGTTTTTTTGTAATTCAATTTGTTGAAATTATTTTGTGTTGTTTGCAGTTCATCTCTGTTGTTAAAGCTGGTTGCATCAGGAGTCAAAGTAAGAATTTGTTCTAATCCTAATCCTTTTATTTGTTGTTTTACTATCGATGACAAATTTAAACACTCAGGTATTATTAGGAAATGACCAGTAGGGGGCGGCAGTGAACCCGGAGCTGCGTTCACTACACTCCGGCAACAGGAAGAAGAAGACGGAGGAGGCGGAAGTTCAAGATGGCGATGGACGGGATGATGTCCACGTCTCCGGGTCTGTCTTATCAAACTGCGGGGGATTTCTACCCCAGAAAGTTCGGTTCGAAGCCGGACGTGGTTCCGTCCGGGGTGACGGAGCGGAAGGTGGTTCCGCTGGATAAACCGGATATGGTGTCGGTGGACGTCATCAACATCAAGGAGCCAGGTTTGTTATGCTAGCTGTGCTAACAGCTAACAGCTGGTTCTGCTGTGTGGTTATGAAGGTCCAGTCAGCTTTAAATCTGGGTTCAACAGAAACATGGAGCTTCAGGTTCCATCTGCTGCTCATCGGAACCTCACCAGTCTGGGTCCGGGTCCGGTTCTGGTCCGGGTTGACCCGCTCAGCTTCTCATTCACATCAGTCTGTTTATGAAGATCCAGGTCATTAAATCCGGGTTACAGCTAACAGTCCAGCACTTTCAGGCCCATTTCCTGTCAGAGCTTCAGCTGATGACGGTTCATTCATGATGATACAGTTTATATCAAAGCTTTGGGTGACGGCGGGAAAGGAAAAGTTAATTGGGAACAAAACGTCAGCAGCAGATCCAGAACCAGCTTTAATTTCTGTCTACAGCAGCTGGAACAGAACAGAACACAGATCCATAAACCAGCCTGGTTCCGACCGGGAATCAAACCCAGGACTACAGCCGAGCAGAGCAACCCAGAACCTGGGTAACTGTTTGTTCATTTGCATATTTAAATCCTTTAAAAATGCAAATAATTTGGTTCTTTTTTATGTAACGAAATCAACGTTTTATTTCCTAAAAGTCAATAACATCGTTATCCTTCATCATGTGCAAAGTTCAGACCTTCTGCTGAACATGAAGGTCTGACCTGGGGATTCATCTTAGATCAATAATTTAACAGTTAGTTATACTCCAGTTATTAATCAATCACTAAATTAGTTGATGATTTTTTTCAATTATCGATTAATCACAATTATACAATTAATCGTTTCAGCCCTGAAACAGTCATGTACCTGTAAAGCTCTCAGTGGTGATTCAGAGATTCATTAAACTATTCTTTGATAATATGGTAAGTTTTCAGTATTTATGTTAAAACTTCCCGTTTTGATGAAGGTTCCTCATCATCAGCTTTAAACTGAGTTAATGTCTGAGTAAAGAACCAGATGTTTCTGTTGAAATGTTTCCCTGTTTCCATGGTGACTGAAGATGTTTGTCTCCTCAGATGTTCCCCTGCACAGGAAGAAGCACGAACACGACGCCTCCGTCCTGGTAGGTCTCCTCTCTGACGTTAACCTGACAGACACTGAGACACAGAGGTTTTAAACTCAGCTTTTATTGTTCCTGTTGTATTTCAGATTCTCTACAGCTCATCTTAAAGGTCTTAAAGGTCAAAGTTCCTCCAACATTCAGCAGCTTCTACTTAAAATCAGACCAGGACACAGTGATACATTAAAGCTGGAAAGATAAACTTTAAATAAGCTGTTTGATAAAACTGGGACCTGTTGATATTTGTTTTCTGGATAAAAGTAGAAACTAATCAACCCAAAAATCTAGAAAACTTCAGAGTAGAGCAGATATGTGACGTGTTTATTGTAGGAAAAGGGAGAAAAAAAGTTACGTAAAAGTAGCAAAAAGGTCATATTTTTGAATGAATTGAACTTCACAATTTTCACAAAGTTTGGACATTTCTGGTTCAAGGATGATCTGATGAATCTGTTTTAAGATGAGAGTAAATTAATATTTGGTATTTTTAATTTAAATAAATCTAATCTGAAAAGTTTGAATTGATGCATTTAATTCACATGTTATGCAAAGATGCACCACTTGGTGGCAGTGTTGGCCAGTGTTTGGGTGTAATGATCGTCTCTAAACCTTCCTGTTGAACCTAATAATACCACCTTAAAAACCCAAGATAATACCACCTTTAGAAATGGACTGTAGCCTTGCTGCTCTGTGGTTTGATCAAACGGATTAATTAATTATTAATAATCATGTTTTATTCAACTTTCATGTTGTGGTAGAAAATCCTTCATGAACTATAATCAGTGAGTGATTATTTTACATCTGATTTCTGTGTTTCCTCATGTTTTGTTCTCCTCCGTTCGCCCTGCAGGGGACCATCCATCCCTTCAGGAAGACGCACAGATCCGTGATCGGGAAGCTCCTGCAGGAATTCCAGCTGGTTTCCTCGGACAGACGGGTAGGCAGCGTTTGGTTTGAGTTTTTCTGGTTCTAATCTTCGTCCCGGCCTCCTTTTACCTCCCATTCAGGGTGAAGGCATCAGGGGAATCCTTGCTCTGTAATCCCGTTATGCAGTAAGCCTGTTAGGAGCTGGATCTGAGTCATGGAGGCAGAGCCGAACACCTCCACTAATCCTGTTTTCCCACTCGGTCACCATGCTGGTGTTTACTCCTCTTTTATTCTCATTGTTTTGGTTTTCACTGCCTGCTGGGAAACAGGAATCCTGACTGAACCCTGGATCTGCTGCCAGACGTTAAAGTCTGCAGCTTCTGAGCTGCAGATGTTCAAGTCTGGATCCAGACTGGAGATTCAGGAAAATAAATGTTGTTTACTGGAGATTAGTGGTGAAAATCAACTATAATCACAGCAAGTTCAGGTTAAAAACAGTAAAATAAGAATAAGTCAGTTCAGTACGAATAAACATGGGCAATAATGAGACGCGCAAAAGAGGAGGATCATTTAAAAATACACTGGATGAGTTTATATCTGCATAGAAACAGCAACAAACGATAATAAAAGCTGTTCAGATCCCAGCAGGGATGTAAAGAGGTGGAGATCGTTGGCAGCAGTGATGGGAGGAAGGATCTGTGTTGATGCTCCTTTGTGCAGCGAGGATGCAGCAGGTGAAGCTCAGGAAACCGTTCGGTTCTCTGGATTTTGTTGCTGTGCAGCAGATCAGAGATGTGAGTTTCCACTAGCAATATCTTTTATGCATATTTTGAAGTATTTGATCAGAAAAGGTTGATGGAAACTGATAAACTCAAAATAACTTCCTTAAGTTTACCAAACAGTTTTTACACTTATTTGAGGTGGTTTTAGTTTTTTTCTGAAAAACAGTGAATGAGCTGAAGGGGGATTGAGAACAACAGAGTAAATTCTGACGTAACGAAAGTTCCCACTTTCTGGTGGGTCTGTGCCTTACCAGAGGCACCAAACTGAAGGATTTCTAAATCCGAGTTTCCATTTTTAAGAGGAGAACGCTCCGAGTTTCTGTTCGTTTCTACTCCGTGTTTCTACTCCGTGTTTCTGTTCGTTTCTGCTCCGTGTTTCTGTTCGTTTCTACTCTGTGTTTCTGCTCCGTGTTTCTGCTCCGTGTTTCTACTCCGTGTTTCTGTTTGTTTCCGCTCCGTGTTTCTGTTCGTTTCTGCTCCGTGTTTCTGTCCGTTTCTACTCCGTGTTTCTGCTCCGTGTTTCTGTTCGTTTCTGCTCCGTGTTTCTGTTCGTTTCTGCTCCGTGTTTCTGCCCGTTTCTTCTCCGTGTTTCTACTCCGTGTTTCTGTTCGTTTCTTCTCCGTCTTTTTGTCCGTTTCTACTCCGTGTTTCTACTCCGTGTTTCTGTTCGTTTCTGCTCCGTGTTTCTGTCCGTTTCTACTCCGTGTTTCTACTCCGTGTTTCTGTTCGTTTCTGCTCCGTGTTTCTGTTCGTTTCTGCTCCGT